AGTGTGTGTGTGTGTGTGTATATATATATATATATATATATATATGTGTGTGTGTGTGTCCCTCCTCTACACCGCTTACACCATGTCTCTCCCCTGTCTGTGTCCCTTACATAGGAGATCCCCCATCATGTCACGGGATGTGGGAAGCAGGAGGGGAGGGGGTCTCTCAGTGGAGCAGGGTTTCCCATCCTCTCACTGTGAACAGGGCACCCCTCTCCAGGCAGGGGTTATCCCAGGGTGGGTGGGAACCACCTCTGCCTCCTGACCAGAACATAGGGACAAGCTCTGGCTGTGGACAGGGGTCTGTTGTGAGCAGGGGACAGGGTGGAACAAATTCTTGGGGGGAGGGCAGACTCACCTCTGGTGGCTCCCTGAAGTGGTGTCCCATAGTCCCTCATCCCTGCTGCTGCTGGGGAGCTAGGCTGGGGGGCGCTGTGAGGTGGGGGAAAGACACTGAAGGGCTGGAGCTAGGCTGGGGGCGGCTGTGAGGTGGGGGAAAGACACTGAAGGGCTGGAGCTAGGCTGAGGGGCGCTGTGAGGTGGGGAAAGACACTGAAGGGCTGGAGCTGGGCTGAGGGGGGTTGTGCAGTGGGGGGAGGCACTGAAGGGCTGGAGCTGGGCTGAGGGGCGCTGTGCATCCAGCCACAGAGAAGTTAGCAAAGTCCAATACCCCCTGTGTGGAGACAAAGGTCAAAGTGACGTGTGCATAATCAGAGGTAATAAACCAGAGATGAGAACAAGAACATGAAAATAGCTTGATCAAAAAGAGCCCTGCTAAGGAAATGTTCATGCATGTGTACTGTATGACCTATATAAGATACTTAATATTCATATCACTCAAAGGTGATTGGAAAAGAACTAGTAAATATGCAATTTGGACGTGTATAATATGTCAGACATTGTAAGGGGTAATCAGAGCATCATAGGAGAAATCCCCCATGACCCGCCTATGCCCCAGGAGAAGGGAACTGGCCAGCACTTCTTTCTATATGCGATGGCTAGTAGCAAATATCCCAATGGCTAGTGATGTGGCACTAGACGGGGAGGGCTCTAAGTTAGAGAGAAATCTTTCCCAGGGGTCTGGCTGTTGGGTCTTGCTGAAATGCTCAATGTGCAACTGACCACCATATTTGGGATAGGGAAGGAATTTTCCAGCAAATCAAATTGACAGAGACCCTGTTTGTTTGTTTTTGCCTTCCTCTGCCATATGGGGCATGTATCATTTACAGATGTTAAACTACAATAAATGGTGGACTCTCTCTAACTTGAAGTCTGTAAATCAGTATTTGAGGACGTCAGCAATTCAGACAGAGTTTAGGGGTAAATTGCAGGAGTGGGTGGGGAGGTTCTGTGGCCTGCAATGTGCAGGAGGTCAGAGTAGATGGATCATGATGGTCCCTTCTGACATTAAAGTCTGAGTCATTTCTTACTTTGTAATTGTAAATGAAAGGCATGTTTGAATTAATCAACCTGAGTGTCTGGGACCCAAGTGTCTGGCCTTCTCACCCAACAATTAACTAGAAGCATCATCTAAGTGTGAACCAATTGACCAGCACCATTCTCTTCCCACAGTCTCAGAGGCTCATCCCAATTTCCATTCCTAGATCCATTTTAGGTACCTTTGAACTTCCTCAGAGTCTCCGATAGCACAATAGTTTTCTGGGAGAAATCGCTGATTTGCTCTTCCAGTTCAGGAGAAATCTCCCTTGGCTGCTGGAACTTCCCCTTCTCACACCTAGAGAGAAAAAAATTCATGTGATTATATTTCATTGTGTGACTCATTATAAATTCTGGCTAGTGAGTGGCTGCTCAAATGGGCCTGGAGTTCGAATTCCTCGACTTCTCCCAGCCTCAGAGCAGGTGCAACACAGCCCATAGCCTACAACCCTCCCTTCAAAGGATTCATTAATATTGTTCAACTCTGATCTGGCTAGATCAGCTCTGGGGACAAAAGGGGAATGGAGTCTCCATGGCCAATTCACTCCTTGGCCTCCATGCTCTGAGGGACAGGAGGTTCCTATGTGAACTGCTGTAGAAATCTGTCCACTAGGAACTAGACTGAGACACCAACTCCCCCCATTCCAGCTCATTCCTCACAGGTCTCCTAACAACCCTCAGGCTGGGAAAGACTCTGGTGGGAAAGACTCTTGACCACTGCTGCCCTGGGCTTAATGGTAACCAGGGCCCCAGCAGTGACAGGCCCATATTCCATCCCCACAATCCTGAGGCAGCCAGTCCCCCAGGGATGTGACATCTCTAGGAAACACTTGAGGTCTGTCCTTCCCACTGAATGGATAATTCCAGGGTGAGAACCTCAGGATTAAGTTTATCTGAGAGATTTGTATCCAAAATGTGACCTTCCCCACACATGTTGCTGTGGAGATGCAGTGCTAACATCATCTCCATGCTCTTTCCCAGCATTGCCAAGTATGTGTGGGAGTGAGAGAGAGCCACATACCTACTCAAGGTGCTTCTGACATCCTAGAGGAGAGAGAGAGGAGAGAGGGAGATTAAAAAAAATGTCAGTACCACCTGACACACACTTGGGATTCCAGGAAAGGGATTTTGCAAATACAGGGAAAAACAGCCCTGTCCTGGCCCCAGGGCTATGGTTTCCTTGAGCTAATGGGGCTTTTCCATCTCTAATATCAATGTGTCTGTGAGTCTGCAAAGAACAATATTCATTCTTGTTTCAGCAATGCACACATTGAGTTACACTGAGATCACAGTTACACTGTGCCCAGGGGTCCAGCTGTCATATCCCTGTGTTGGGATTTGGGAAGTTTCTAGCTCAGTCTCACCTGCAGGAATTCACT